TTGTGGTGATCGTGGCGGTGGTGGTTCTGGCGCTGGCGGCGGTTGCGGCGGCTGCGGCGGCGGCTGCGGGGACCTGCTGGCCTAGCGCTAGGGCGCGTTCAGCAGCATCGCTGCACTTGTAATATTAGGAGGATTTGCTGATCTGCCGAGTTGGCCCAGCGGCCGCCTTCTTCTCGCCGAGAGGGCCGCAGCGTGGGCGACTTTCTTTTTCCCTGAGGCGACTGGCCTTTTTAGCGGCCGTGGAGCGGGCGGCGCGCGTGCGATCCGCCCCGCGGGTGTCCGCCGCGCCGGCGACGCACGCACTAGATTGCCCCCTTGCGAGGGCGACGTGCACGTTCGAGAGGGCGGCTGGCCTCCTCCGCGGCCGACGCACGGGCGGCGCGCGGGCGACGAATGCGCGGCGCACCTCTTGTCGCGAAGGGGGGGGGGGTCAGCACGCCGGTCGTTTTGCTGGGCCTTAACAGAGGGAGGGAGGAGGAGGAGGAGGAGGAGGAGGAGGAGGAGGAGGAGGAGGAGGAGGGGGAGGGGGAGGGGGAGGAGGGGGGAGAGGAAGGGCAGGAGGAGGAGGAGGAGGAGGAGGAGGGGGAGGAGGGCGGCGGCGGGGCCATCAGGGGCACGAGGGTCAGTTCATCGGGGACAGAGCAAAACCATTCGGAGGCCTCTTAAATGACCCAAGCTCTTCGAGTGCACTGAACGGCGGGCGAAAGCCTTTTTTTTTTTTTTTGGGGGGGGGGGGGGTCCATGGCGCCCCGCGATGGACATCAGCGCGGAGGTATCCCTGATGCCACCGAGCGCCCCCGACAAAAATGTGATGCTACTAGAGTAGGCCAATATCAACTGTGCGGAACTGAAGCGAGAAAGGAGGAGACAACTCGGCACTAGCCCATCGTCCTTCGGTGTGTCTCGGAAGTGCGTCGCGGGGCCCTTCCAGCCAGTCTGGGGATGCTGGCCTCCAGGCTGCGATCCAGGTCGAGCGAGGGGGGGGGGGGGCTCAGAGGCCGAGGGCGAGAAGGGAAGGTCGATTCGCACTCGAGGACGCGGGGGGCAGGGTTCTCATACAAAAACCACTAGGGGGAGGAGGGAGAGGCGGAGGAGGCGTCAGAGGACATCGGGGGGGGAGGAGGAGAAGGGGGTTCACGGCCAGGCACAAGGGCGTGGCTCAGCTCGCGTGTCGGCGGAACGGTATCAGGCGGAGCCGCGTCAGCTAGTCTAGACACCCTTGTGGGCCATGTACCAGAATTCCCCTGAATCGAACTTGCTCTTTGCGTGGCTGGCGCGGCAATCGGCGTAGCCCCCGTCATCGGAGAAGACAAGGCAATCGGAGTAGACGCGGCGATCGGAGTGGTGCGAGCAATCGGAGTCAGCGTGGCCATCGGAATAGGCGCGGCAATCAACGTCGTCAACGCGCCTTCTCCGGCCTGGGTCGTTGCGCTGCATCCAGCAACGTTGGCGACGTATCGGGGGCGTCCGATGGGCGATCCGAAGGGCGGTCCTGGCTCCCTTCGAGCGTCCAGCAACGTTGGCGACCCATCGGGGGCGTCCGATTGGCGAACCAGAGGGGTTCCTGACCAGCTTTCCGCGTCCAGCAGCGTGGGCGACTTATCGGAGGCGTCCGATGGGCGTCCCAGTCTCCATCCTATCGGCTCTAGCTGCCCACGCTGTCCAGCAGCAGCTGCATGATCCTCTCGTTGTGGGACCTGGGCGGGGCCCCTCTCTTGATCTCGGCCCCGAGCTGCTTCGAGGAGTCGAGCAACGGCTGAACTACGCCAGAGCTCTCGGCCGAGAGGTGGATCTTCATGACTTTCCTGTCGTGGGTGTACGAGATCCTGCAGTGCCGCACCGCGTCGCGCATCTTCTCGTTCGTCATCGAGGCGTCTGCCTTGATGGCGTCCAGATAATCTGCAATGCTCTTCGCATTGGCTGCTCCGACCCGTTCTCCCTGCTGCCTGACCGCCCCGGGCAACGCCAGCCACGTATGAGGGTGTGGAGCTCCCAGGGCGTCGAGCTCGGGGACCTTGACCTTGTCGCGCAGGGCCTGCGCGTTCTCTCTCTTCAACCTGGTGGCCTCCTGGGCGAAGAACTGGCTGGTGACCTTCATGGACTGGCAGATCTGGTGCTCCTTCTCGAGGTGGATATGATGGAACGCCGCTGCCTCCAGCGCCGCTATGCTCTGGGTGTTGCGCAGCGTCATCCGAACCAAGGCAGGGGAGAATGCCTGGAAGAGCTCCATCGGGATGGTCTCCAACTTTAGGCGCATGATGTCCTGCCTTTGCAGCCCGAAGTGCCGGCTTGGTCGAACATGTCCGCGAGCGCCCTGCTGATGCGGTCCAGATCTGCACCTGCTCGTTGTTGCTGCTGGTGCGTAGGTTGTGCTCCTCCCTTTGCCAGTCGTGCTGCCTGCTGCGGTCCGAGGGCTCCGTCCTCTCGTGCAGGGCGGGGGGCCCGGTCTCCTCCTCGTCTCGTGGGGCGGCCGCGGCGGTCTCCGCTGCGGGGGCGGAGGGCGCGGTTCCTGTCTTCTGCTCCGAGGCCCATCGCCCTCTCCGCCAAATCCATGCTCGTTAAAGACTAGCGCGGGATGAGGTGGGGCGTGGGCGTCTCGAATGTGCCTTTGGAGTTCGGGGAGAGATTGAAAAGGGCTCGATCTGCTTTGAGCCTGGTGGCATACAGTCCACGAAACCAGGCAGGGCCGACTCAAGGTCCACGCAGAACGGGCAATGGAGATCCATGGGTTCCTGGACGGGCGGGGCATGCGGGCTCATGTCGCACAGGCAACGCCCCCGTCGTAGCGATTGAACGACATGCCGTCTAGCTGTGACCTGGCTCCGAAAGACGTACAATGCAAGCACTGATTAGTGAGTGCGAGCACGTGCGCGGGGACCCTCATCCTGTGGGCAGGGTGGTGACACTGGTGCGCTATCAGGGCCCCTTTGCTGTGGTAAACCATCCCACATCTCTCCCCGTCTTCACCAGGAAGATCATGCATGCTCCTGAAGGGGCTCTTCGGGGTAAGGCTGCTGGAACCTGCGGGCCTGAGCCTGACTGCGGAGCTCTGGAACCTTGCGGAGGAGCGAGGGGTTGAAGCTGCAGAACCTCTTACTCACGGACGGGGCGGTGAGGATCTCAAAGAGCGAGTGCGTCGCAAGAAACCTGGGGCCGTTGCGAAGGTACTGTAGGGCCCCGACATCCTGCTCAAACTGCTTTGCCCACGGATTGGCCGAGCTGGCAATCCTGCCGGTCGGCGCGAAGGTGCTGTCTTCCGCCAGGCCGTCAAGTCTGCCGAACATCACAGCGGGCTTTTGCCTGCTGTCAGCTGGGAGACGAACAAGACGCTGCCACTGTCGCAACCGTCGTATCGTCAACTCGATCCTGGAGTCCGTGATCCTGAGAGCTTTCAACACCTGGAGTTCCGACATCGAACGATATTTCGGGGCTTGTCCTGGATTCCGCTGATCAAACTCAGGTCGACGGTCACGCAGAACAGCGCGGGCGAGCGAGAGGATCGCGGCATCCAGCCGCTTCAAATCTAACTTTCCAATGAGGTAGGTCTCCAACCCAGAGTACGCAGCGCCAACTACCAAGTCCATGGACGCCATCCTCTTAAGTCTAATAGAGTGAGTGGTGTCCCAGAACCTCCCCAGTCTCCTCCACGCCGCCCTGGTAGCCTCCGCCCTCCTCCTGATCTCCGCTCCGCATCCCCCAGTAAGCTGCTTCACTCCTCCAAGGTAAAGGGGCTCCGCCGAGACGACCCCAGGAAGATGGGCTCCTTGCGGTAACGACGAACGAGTGGCAGTATAGGCCCCAGGGCCCACCGGGACAGGCATGCAGACTTCTTTCTCGGGTTTCTGAGCGACCCCCCCCTGCGCGCGAAGCTCACGATCGAGGATGGCTTTGGAGGCTAGCACGCGGGACCTGGCCTCGAGCGGATTCGGGCTCATCAAGGAAATCGTCGGATGTACGTCGTTGGAATAGTCTCTGATCGCAGCGTCGTGTATCTCATCCGCCAAGGCGCAGGTCATCAAACTGGTCACTTGCACCAGCGGGGCAGGCGCCGACCGGCGGTCGGAATGATACCGGGTTTCGTCCTGGAGGAGTTGGTCGCTCCAAGACTCGATAGGACGCATGAAACTTCGCGCGAAGAGCTCGCAAGCGTTCCCATCCCCCATCCCTGACCCATTTGTTGGTTGATAGTAGCCGACCTGCTCCCCTGCCTTGATCTCCATCACCGCCTCCGAGTGCCGCTGACGCAGCAGCGCTCTGTCCTGAGGATGCGGGGCGACTGACATCACCGTCTCCTGCAGAGATGCGTGCGAGGTCGAGGGAAAGGCGTTCGACATTATATATATATATATATATATAAACCAGGAGGTGGGATATCCTGGGTCGCTTTTTTTCTCCAGCTGTGTTTCATGGCGACGAGCTGTGCGTTCAGACGAGAACGGTGTGGCGCGTATCCGTGTGCGTGCGGAGGGAGGGGGGGCCTCCGATGACGAACGTACACGCCTCTGTACCAGGCCTTGGCGAACGGGCAGTAGCAGTGGATGAGACGCATCGCTTCGATTCCCTTCTTACTCCTTTCCCCTTGGAGAGCTGAAAGGTCCGACTCCAGTGCTACTGGCGAGGCGTGCGCGACTTCATACGAATCTGCCTAAAGACACGGCGCAGGCGCTGAGTGAAACAAGGGCACTCAACGCGCCGCCGCAGTTGCGCTCCCTCAAGCGCTCGGTCATTCAAATGGTCAACGCGCGGCCACTCACCAGTGAGATCACGCGTAGCGTGTTGCATAAGCCAGCACCACAGCTCCGCAGGAACAGAGTGATCAGGCGCATAGCGACGTCGAGCGACACGTCGAAGTTGATCCAACGTACGCGGCCTGTCGTCATGTGCGAGGGAGGCTGGCGCCACCGCATAGTAGTCTGGGCCGTCCTCCTCCCATCTGGTGAGCTCCTCCTGGGCCGCTTCAGCGGGGCTCAGCAAGACCTTGGCACTGAAGCTTCCGTTTCGAGCCGCCGCCGTCATGGTGTGCTCCCACTCCTGCAGGCTCGGCAAGTCGTGGTCTGGCACATTGAGGGCCCTCGAGCGAGGGCCACGACAGCGCGAACCCACCGCGTAGATGGTGCGCCAAAGGTTGGAGTTGTCTCCGCAATCTCGATGCAAGCAGGCCTCCTGCATGAGCTCCTCAATCCTCGCGAGGTCGAGCCTGCGCTTCTCCGCCTTCAGCTCCTTTTCAATCGTGCGCAGCTCGACCCGATCTGCCTCCTCGAAGCAGTTCTTGCGTGCATGCTTCCTCTCGGCGAGAGCCGCTTCCCTCTGGCGGAGGAGGCGAGAGAGAGGGGGGCCATCTCAAACCTGCTGCGCTGCCTCGGGGAGGGCTGCCTTCCGAATATCCTGCGCCAGCGAAGCCCAAGCCTCCGACGGATCCAAGGGCGTGGTGTCGCGCTCCCAGGTGCCCCCGGTATTCTTGCATAGCTTCTCGAGCTGCCCCAAGATCTCCGTGCCGTCGCCGCCATGCTTCAGCACTTTCGCAAGGCAATTCTGATCCCAACGCGCAGTCGCAGGTTCTGTGGGCGGGGCCTCGAGCTTGTAGCGTACTTGGCACAGGACAGGGGCATGGTCTCGGGGTCTCCAGTCAGGTATGACTTGCAGCTCCTTCATCGCCTCTCTAAGCGTGCGGCATGCCACAGTGGCTGCCACCGCGTCCGCTGGAATAAGAATGTGATCTGGGGCGCTGGTGTGTCCAGTGCCGAAATACGTGGGTCCGACAGGAAAGAACGTGGACACCACTGCCATATCTTCCATCTCGAGTATGCGCCACAGCTCAATCGACGTTTCATTTTCGATGGAGTTCGCCCACGGGCCAACATGCCGTTCTTCAGCCGTCGGCGTGGGTAAGCCCTGTCCAACTCTGCGCAATCCAAATTGACAATGGCCATCTAGTGCCACAACCACAAGTGACCTTCTTTTCGCATCCTGGATCGACTTATGAACCCATGCCGCCAGGTGCTTGCACGACTGCCTCCAGTGATCCGCCTTCATGTTATTCGCAGGCGGGAAGTAGGCTGATATGATTGTAATATCAAACATACCAGATCTGTCTCCAAGTAAACCCCTCTGCCAGCCAAATTCTGGGGAGGGTATCTGATATCCACAATGTGTGACCGTCTGATCGCCTTTGAGCGGAGGAATATGGTGCAACCCGTCGATTTGTTGGTATGTCTGCCCTCTTCCCAGCCAGACTCGAAAACCAGGTGCCTCGTTGTCCTCAACGTGGTGGCGGGCTGCTGTAGCTTCCTTCGCTGGGTGGTGCCAGGGCAAACGATGATATCTGCGAGCTGCAGGCTCTCCGAGATGTCCTCTGCTCTCCAAGCCTCCAGGAGGTGCAGCGGATTGTAAATAACAAGACTCAACAGGGCGTTCCACATCAATCAAGGATTCATGTAATGGTATCGAAAAGTGTGAGTGTGTGTGTCGCCCCCCCCCCCCTGATCCTCAGGGCGTGTCGGGGCGACAGTGGGAGGGGGCGAAGTTGGCCCTGGCGCCGCGGTCGTGGGCACAGGGGCTGAGGAGGAGGGAGGAGGGAGGAGGGAGGAGGGAGGAGGGAGGATGAGGATGAGGAGATGAGGAGGAGGAGGAGGAGGAGGAGGAGGAGGAGGAGGGGGCGGAGGAGGATGAGGAGGAGGAGGAGGAGGAGGCGGAGGAGGAGGAGGAGGAGGAGCTGGAGGAGGAGGAGGAGGGGGAGGCGGAGGAGGAGGAGGAGGAGGAGTTGGAGGAGTTGGAGGAGGTGGAGGAGTTGGAGGAGGAGGATGATGAGGAGGCGGAGGAGAGTGAGAAGGAGGAGCAGGAGGGGGACGAAGTTGGAGGAGCAATTGGAGGAGGAAGGTGTACCAGGAGGAGGACCAGTGTAAACTCAAGACTCATCAACGATGTTTGGAATCCATCCGTCATGCTTCCTCTTCATAGGCCCCATACAAGGATTCACTCCCTCTGGCGGAAGTGCCCCGTTAGGACACAAGCGTGCGATAATTGTGAAGCATGGCAAAAAAATGTTTTCAGGAGTTCAACGCCGCGAGTCAACCTGACTGTTGCGTCCTGACGATCCTGAATCGTGACAGAGCAGTTTTCGTGGAACCTCACCACCGCGAACTAACGTAACTGCTGCGCCCAGACAATTATGCAGCGTGCAAAACATCACTTCTGGAAGGTTAACCATGAGGGTCTGCCTAAGTCTTGCAATTCAAACGAACGTGCGCGGCGCTAAAGCGAGCTCCACATTTCGACAAGGAACCTCCCCTAATCCGTGAATCTCCTGTTCAATTTAAAACGAAAGTGCGCGGTGCGAAGAAGAGAACCACGTTCTGAAAATGAGCCGCCCTCAATCCGTGAGGCTCTTGCGAACTTTAAACCAAAATGTGCGCGGCGCTAAGGCGACAACCACATTTTGAGAACGACCCAACCTCAATCCGTGAATCTCTTGCAATTTTCAAAACGAATGTGCGCGGCGCTAAGGCGAGAGCCACAGTTTGGCGACCCGCCCCCAAAGTGCGAAGCTGTTGCCAATTTCGAAGCTTCAGGCTGATGAGTGGTAAGGAAGTCTCAGGCGAAACGCGTGGCCCGCCCTTCCGACTCCTTTCGGGATGCGACAGGGAGGAATTGTTCATACAGAAAAGGAGTGGAGGAGGGAGAGGCCGAGGAGGAGGAGGAGGAGGAGCAAGAGGTGGAGGAGGAAAAGGATGAGAAGGAGGAGGCGGAGGAGGAGGAGGAAGATAGAGGAGAAACTTGGAGGAGGAAGGTGGAAGAGGAAGTAGGAAGAAGGAGGAGGGAGGGAAGACGAGGAGGATTCCTCTGGTGGTCCGAGGATCGTACAACATGCTCGCCGAGGCCGCGTACGCGGTGGGACTTTCCCACAAGGCCCTGGCCCCTGAGCACTCGGGGGGCTGCTGCGGCCGGGGCCAGGCTGCCGCCGCTGCTCCCAGGGGCCGCCGGGCGGCCTCCAGGGCTTCCAGAGGCTTGGAGCGCGGGGGGGGGCATTGGATCGGCGGCGAGCGAGGTGGGGGTCCAAAGGGGTCCTACGGGGGACTGCCGCTATACGGACAAAAGGGTCCCAAGACGGCCCAAGAGAGGCCCAAGACGGCCAAAGTGGGCCCAAACGGCCCAAAAGGGCCCCTGGGGACCCCAAAGACTGTTTCACAGGAGGCCAACACAGCCCCACAACGGCCCAAACAAACTCCGTGATAGCTCCTCAATAGGTGAAGACGAAAGGTGTCACATGTGATGGCATCGGTCGGAGGCGAGCGAGGGGGGGAAGTGATAAGGAGAAGTCCTTTTCAGAAGGCGGCGGGACTTCTCAGAAACCCTCGCGCCTTCTGATAAATTTCAGTGCCTTCGGGGAAAACTCAGGAAGCTTTTCAGGAGGCCGGGGCGCTTCCGAGCCTGCTGAGAAGGCCGCCCCTTCTCACTTACCCCCGGGTTCGCCGCCCATGGGATGTAGAAAAAGAACAATGTACCAGTACGTACCGCTACCCTTGCTTCGCTTTCGCCTTTTTGGGCCCTGGGAGGCCCCCGTCGCCACGGTTGGATTCGCGTCGAAATCCTGGTCAGAACGCGCTCCGGGAGGGTTCGGGGAGCACCGGTATTGGTCTTGTGCAGGCCTGGCGGCTGGTGCCGCCGACCCGCAAGGGGGACGACGACGACGACGACGACAACGACGACGACGACGACGACGACGACGACGACGGCGGCGGCGGCGGTGGCGGCGGCGGCGGCGACGACGACGACGACGGTGGCGACGAAAAACGCTCAAGCAATAGATAAACATCATTGAATTTACCCTCGTCTCGGGGGCTTCCTGGGCGCCTCTTGGGCCTCCTGGGGGCCTTGTGGCGGAAGGCTCGACAAGTAGGTTGGTGTTCCCCTTCTTCTTGGGGCAGTCTTAGGCCGTATTGGGGCCGTCTTGGGCCGTTTCTGGGCGCTTTCGGCAGCCTCTTGGACCGTCTCAGGGCGATTTTGGTGGCTTCCTGGGCCGTTTTGGAGCGTTCGAAGCTTGAAAAAGGCGAGGACGCGAATAGCATAGAACATCACGTTCAATGAACATGATCGATTTTCACCTCTTGGGGCCTTGGGCCCTCTTAGTGAGGACTCCGCGGCGGGCCCTAATGGGGAATTTGGGTGCCTTGAGACCGTCTTGAGGGTAGTTATTTGGGACCAGTGACGGGGAGCATTGCGTACAGTTCGTGAGCGTGAAGAGAGTGCAGAAGCTGACCGCGATGCTCGACGATGTGCCTTTACTGCCCAGGTTGCCCCCAAGCTGGTGTCTCGATGCTTCGGGGCCTCGAGACTTCTGCATAGTATGCGGACGACCCGGCCTGATTGGATAACCGGTGCCTTGGCATAGGGGCAGCAGGCTTTGCGGTCGACGTTCCAGATCTGTACTGGCACAGCTGTGAACGAAAACCAATGGCAGCAGGCCTCCTTCCCCTTGAGCAAGGGAAGGCTTGGATTTCGGTGCATTCATACGCTGCTGCGGCCTACTTTGCCTCTCGTTTGGCAGCGCGGGACTTGTGCAGGCAGATCGATGCCGCTTTCTCCAGGGAAGGGGCAAGTGATGGCAGTGCTCTGGCAGCAGCAGCCAATCTGCACAATGCCTGCGCCTGCCAGGAGCACCACTTTACTGGCGAGAATTTGGCTTCTGATGGCTCCTTACCCAGTCAGCGAATTTTGTCGATCAAGATGGACGAGACTCTCTTAGACCAGCGGATCGCTGCAAACCCAGGCGCCCGCAAGGCGAGGATCCTCGCAACGAGCGCGCCCCACGCGAGTGCATGGCCGCAGGCCCAACCATGCAAGGCAGCGAATGTCGCACTACGAATTCGTTGCGGCCTTGCGCTTGCGGTTGGGTTGCCAGGCTTCGAGCGCGGACGACTGGTGCCCGAAGTTCGACCAGGTGATGGATGCGCACGGCCTGCATTCGCTCAGCTGCAAGGTGGGTGGCGACGCTGCCGACGTGCACAATGTGTTGCGTGACCTGGTCCACTCCTTCGCGCGTGCTGCTGGCTTCCGCGCCGAGAAAGGGGGGAGTGGGCAGCTGCCGGATGATCCACGCCGGAGGCCAGGTGACATCCATTTTCCGATATGGCCGCTCGGTCCACCCCTGGCCTTCGACTTCGCCGCGACGTCGCCCCCCAGGCTGTCTGCTGCGCAAGGGGCCGCCGCCAGACAGCTGAGCTTTGTGACGGCGCGCGAGGGCGCGAAGTTTGGAGACGGGGGCGCCGGCGCACGCTGCGAGCAGCTAGGCGTCCGCCCTGTTGCTTTGGTCGTGGCGTCCTTCGGCGGCTGGTGCTCGATGGCGCAAGACGTGTTCTGGGGGTTAATTTTATGCCCGTGCAGCGCGCAGCGGCGAGACGGTGAGCAATGCCACTGCGTGATGATATTCTGTCCTTAACATCACCACTTTGATGCGTGCGAACGCGCGCTCTTTGCTGGCCGGGGTCCTTCGGGATGTCGGAGCCCGCGCTGACAAATTTAGCCGCGCGGCGACTGCTGCGAGCGGGGCGTCAGGTGGGGGCCGGCGCCCAGTGACTTCGAGGGTGCCTTCCTTGTTCCTCCTTCGCCCCTCTTTCCTCCGCCGCCTGGCTGCTCGGCGATATTTCCCCCCAGTCGCAAGGGGGCCGTCCATTTTCCCGATGCGCAGAGTCGCGTGCGCACCTCTCGGCCCGCTTCCTTTCTTGCCATGGCCCCGGCCTTCGGCTCCTCCTCCGCCCTCGGCTCCACTCCTCCCCCCCCGCTCTCCCTTTCTGTGGCTTCCCTTGCCTTTGTGCTTCCTTGCCCTGGTTCGTCGCGCGCTCTGCCGCCTTCCCATCCCCCGGTTGGTTCTCCCTCTCCGTCCTCCCGTCCCTCGCCCGTCGGTCCAGTCAGTCCTTTCTTGTCGTCCGCCCTCCCTCCCCCCCTCCCTTTCTCGCTCCTCGGCCCTTCGCTTTTCTGTCATTTTTTGCCCCCTGCCTGGCCCGCTTTTCTTTGTCGGCCCGTCGCTCGGTCCAGTCGCGGTGGCCCGAGGTGCCGCGCGGGCGAATCCTCGTGACCAGGAAATGCTGAACTTGCATTGGTTGTGGCTCCTCATTCCTGGGGGCCCCACCCCCAGGGGGCGCCCTGTCGCCATTCGCGCCGAGCGGTGGATGAAAGGACGGGCGCCCCCAGGAGCTTTTGCCGAGGTGATCTGGGAGCACCTACCCATCGGCCGTCTTGGAACGATCTTGGGCTGTTCCAGGGCCCTCTCTGAGCAAACCGCGGTAGAAGTGAACCAGGGGCGCGCGCGGGGCAAGGGGTCGAAGGGGGGAACTTCTCCCAGGGAAGGGTGCCCCTCCACGAGTGGGGCGGGTTTAATCCTTGGGGGGCCCTCCCCGCCCCCTCCACCCGCGGCCGCCCCGGTGGGGGTCCAGGAACCAGGGTTTGAACCCCCGTGCGCAGACCGCGGCGCCACGGAGTAGCATCAGGGTAGAAACCTGGCACGTTGCATAGCGCTTGCACTATATCAGAATAGTATCAAACCACACGGATTTCGTAAGAAAGCGCTATGTCTTCAGCTGCGAGGTTCCTTGCGAGAAGATCATCTGCCCTCCTTGGGCGTGTGTCCAGAGCGAAGATTTCTGCGCTTCGGTCAGAATTTTGCGTTCGGGGCCGGCTCCCTGGATGGGAGCTGCCGAGGCCGAGGTCTATTTTTTCGTAATTTTCACGGCAAGCCATCCGAAATGCGATGGTTCAAGACCGCGGCTTGGCGGCGCGCCGGGCGAGCTAGCGGCTAGCGCGCGAGCTCCGCTCGCGCCGGTCATTTTCTTAATCGGTTTTGTTGCGCTTGCAGTGCATGCCTCCATGACCTGGAAAAGGGTATATCGGGGCCCGCGCATGGCGGAGTCAAATGCAACATGTGCCAACGAACGCCGCTTCTTAGACTATCGGCGCGATGCGTGCGGCATCGACCTGCGATGAACGCGCGCTGCGTCGTCCTGGTTGCATTCGTTGGTTCGACGTCGCAGCTGTTGGCGCAGGGGTCAAATCAGAATCCAAAACAGGAGACGGACCCGTCGTCAAGAATTGGGGGCTGCTCCAGGAATATTTCGGGCATGGCCAGGGCCCCGGGTAAGGGGGCCCAATTAGTTGTGGGGCCCTGGAGCTCTTGAGTTGGCTATAATCACTAACCAGATCTGCCGTGGCTGTTTTTTTCTTCGGGCGACGGTAATTCTGGTTAGTGGAAGGAGGCGGGGGGCGCCCCCCAGTGCGCATCATTACACCAGGTCCCACTTAATCCAGTTTTGCCAACGCCCGAATATAGGTCAGACCGACGACGCTTTCCAGTCACTTGAGATCATGTGTCATGCGACAGGGCAGCATCAGAAGTGGCGAATTTTGGACGCATGGTGCAGGCTCTGACGCTGGCTTTTTCACAGCGGGCGGCGAGCACCCAGCGGTTGGCGCGAAGCGCTGGGCGGCAAAGCGCCGAGCGGGCGGCAAGCCGAGACTTCTGAGCTCTGAAGCCCGAGTGGGAGATCGCCGGGATCATTGCCGCGAGCCAGAAGCAGCTGCTCCTGGTGTTCATTCAGTTCGAGATCGACTCGGCGACGCAGGTGCGACGGGCTCTTCGGGTGCGGTTTTTGACGCGCGCGGGCGCGTGCTACCAGCGACGCGAGGGGCGTCGTCGAGCCGGCGCTGGCGACGGGCCTTGCGTCGCCGCTTGCCCAGCTGTTGCATCAGATGGATCGGCGCAAGGCTCCCCGGGAGAGCCGCGACCAGGCGGGGGCGCAGCCGTGCTGGAATCTGCATCGCACAACCCGGATAGAGCTGCGCCTCAACGGCGCGCCCCGGAGGTGCAGATCGCAGGGGGTGCACCGTGATTCCGAGGGGGCGGATAATTTCGCCCG